TTTGCAGGTACGTTACCTTGCAGAAGCAGCAACTGCTTCTGTTAAACAATCTGAACTAACTGGATCCCCTTTATTCAGTTGCCAGTATAGCAGAAAATAGTATTCTGCCTTGTTAAAAAGTTGATTTGGCTGGCTCTGTAGTTACACAAATACCTGAGCTGGCGTGAGAAGAAGCAGATCTGAGGAGGTCAGGTGAGAGAGGGTGACTAAAGGGGACCTAGCCCAGACCTTTTCGGGAGTTTAGTAACTTAACAGTATTGTTTAATCTAATAGAAATGATAACTAACTGCTCGTTACTAATTGGTTACTAATATTTACATTCTGTGGCATGTTATGATGCTTCTATAACCTAAAAACTAATGTTATGTATTTGGTTCTCTTATTATGTAAATTAAATAAGTTTTTTTCAGGGAGAGATGAAAACATAGCACATAGCACTCCTATAGTGTTCAACTGGAAGAAGCAGTCTTGTGCAGGCTGGTTAATTTAGTGCCTCAGAATGCCCCTCTGCTGTTAGAGGGGTTAGAATAAAGGAAAATAATTTCCCCAGTGTGGAGCAGTTAGCAAAATGTAATAACTCACATTTTGCTGTAGAAATACAAAACTGGTTACTCAACCCTACAATACCAAGCTTTGGAATTACAGCTTTCTCCGCCAGACTGTAGCTGGATGGGGTGGAGGGGTTGTCTGCTATCAAGTACTGGTGTCACCCGTACAGCCAAACCTGTAAGGTTTGGCATAGTGACTGCAGTAGGTCATGTGGATAAATGGGGGATATTTTGTTCTATTATATGGAAGATGTCAATCTCATTCATTTCCCAGTCTTGCTACAGGTGATCTTGTAAGTTTTCATTTACCAAACAAGTAAGTTAATGATGTTGCTTCCTAAGGCCAGGGAGAAAATTTTCTCATAAAAATGTTTTCTACTGGAAAATATTGATTCAACTAAATCAAGGCCTTATGAGGGAATATAACTTTTATTTAAAAGGAGTTTTGCCAAAGTATTATCGAGGTTTTTAAGGTTCTTGACAGATTTTTTTAATGTATTATTATGGATAAACTATTCCTAGAAGGTTGAAAAAAACCTTTGGGATAGTTTGCTTTGTGAACAATTCTGATCTTTTGGGTTTTTTTCTTAGTGACTCATGATGAATAACAGTGTTTAATATCTTAAAGCTTTGAAATACATGGACAGTATCATTTTTGGCCAACTCTGGCTAACTGTACAATGGTATTTGATAGCAGAGGCACTGACACACGTACACAAATACTAAATATAATTCTGAATTAAACAGATGAGGCTACTCCTGATTTAATTTCCTAATTCAATGTGCTTGCTTCATGGATATAAACAGTTCCAAGATGGAAGTCTCCATGAAACTATCCCATGGAGATGAGTCCTGTTCTGTTACCAAGCTCCATGAAGTGATGACTTGTACATAAAAATACATTGTTTCCATCATAACTCAGGATCAGATAAATCCTTGCATTAAGCTAATCAGAGATCAATAATGAGAAAGAAATGTAATGAAGGAATTTTAGAGGGAGCACGTGTATTGCCAGGATACTGCTCTGATGTTGGCAGTCTTCAAAGTGTGGCACAAAGCCTGAGCAACTCAGACCTGTATTGCTGCCTATTGCTGCAGCTCCAGCAAGTACAGCGAAACTTGGTATTACACTCCCGTGAAAGATTTAATGTAAGATGTTTCCTCCTTTGCCTTGGGAACCACTGTGTGCCTGGCAAATTGTTGGATTAGGCACTAATATGCAACTGAACTCTCTGGGTGATGCTTTTTTTGTTTAGAAGGACTTACAGCGGGGACATGTCACAGGTTTGCAGACATATTTCTTCATGAGGGCCATTCTGTTCTTCTGTAACTGGCAGTTCAAGTAACAGAAGTATGATCTTCTTTGAATGCTTTTCTCCCTGCTGTTGTCCTGCAGCCAAGGAAGCTTGCATGGGCTTCCTCCTGCAGTAAATGCTCCTACTGTGAATTCGGCTCTTCCCAGTCAGGGGTGAGAGTCACAGAATCTACCCCAGTGAGCAGGACTTCTCCTGCCTCTGGGCTGTCGCAGCGCTCCGGCGATTCCCTGACTTTCCCCGCAGCGCTGCCGTTCATCGGGAAGAACGGGAGCTGCTGGTTTATGACTCAGTTTCATTTTCCTCGGCGGGGTTCTCCCTAGCAATGTTCAGTGTTTTATTATCTGGCCTATTTCATGTAATACACTTGTCACCTCTAAAATTTATAGAGTTCTGTGCTATTTGTTAGTCCAGCTGAGCACTATAACCCCAATAGTAAAATGTCTGGATGGTTTCTAGACTTGTCTTCGCGCCAGTATTCCAGATGGAGTAAAGACACTGAAGACACACCGAAACACATGCTTCATATATAAAGTGAAATGACTCCATATGTTAATTCAGTGTTAAATAGACCAAAAGATACAAAGTTGGGTGCCCAAATTTTGGCACATGACATCATATTTATGCAGCCAGATGTATAGTCCAGTCTTCAAAAGTATGCACCACTTTTCTATCAATTATCAACAATTGCTTCACATGTGATGTGTTGATGGCTCACAACTCTGAAAAGCAAGATTCTTACCTGGTGCATAACTATTGCTATAGGACTTACACACAGGCAACAAAACCTGAAAACACTGATCACAGATTTACACTTAAACATTTTCCAGGAAGCTTATGGGGAAAATTACGTTGGCATCAAACAACAGTGTCTTATCTATAAATATGTTAAGAGAATATACATATGGACTTAGTTAAGCACTTGTGTAAGGAAATGGCAGCATTCGAATTGCAACCTCAGTAATCATTCTCTCCTATAGTTTCAACATGATAGTACATGGTTCAGCATCTCTTTCTGCAACTTTTATGCTATTTCCAGCCAATACAAAGTATCAATTAGCTCTATGGTATAAGTAGATTTAGTAATTTTTCTGTTCCCATCGTATCAGCAGAATTTCTCCATCTTTATGGACAGAGCTATGTATAAATCTGCTGTGAGAATTTTAACACTCTGGTCAGGAGATATGTATTAAGAATTTTCACCCAAACAGTGCATCCTTATTAAGGAAAAATCTGTTTGTTTTTTTTTTTTTAAAAAAAAAGGTCTTCCAGTAGAATTTTGGAGAAGAGGCAAGTCTGTATAACTTGATTGCATCCTACTGTAGCCAGTACACATGGAAATTTTTAACTGGTGATACTTTGATACTATTAATCTGTGTCGTATCTGAATAAGTAGAATTCATGTCCTGCAGATACAATGGGGGAAAAGAGAACAAGGGGACCTTTGCTCTTGAACAGATGAGAAGAACTTGTGAACCTGTAAGCAGAGATATTGTTGTATTTGAAAAAAGGACAAATATTGGGGTTTTGGTCACAAAAATATTTTTACACTAATGCCTCTGGATGGTGTTTTTGTTCATTTGTTAGAGAAAACAGTAATGATATAATGCTGTTAGTCATCTTGTAATGTTCATCCCTGCTCTCAGCTTTCTCTTGCTGTGCAGAGTTGGCATCTGGTGCTCAGGCACTCTAGGCAGTGACGTGCTCTTCAGCCACAGACTTTACAAGTGTAGCACGGCTGTTGAAAAGGTAATCATGTGCAGGGTAATATTTCAGGGGCTCATAATCGAAAAACGAAAACTAATTTCCACTGGGTCACTCATATCCATTGTGCGAATTATAGTTTGAAGGGAGTTTGTTACAATGTTTTGCCAAATCGTTCTAGAGAGGTCTGTTACAAAAACGCTGCCCTTCTTTTAATCCACAGAGGACCTATAACTGATAGTTTGGAAGGGCATTCTGGAGACTGCAGGATAAGCAGGTCTTTTATATAATTAATTGATCAGTCTGATAACAAAATTTTTGTCCAAGCTGGCACTTCTGCAACAGAGCAGTTCTAATTTGTGGCACTGAAGTGAATGCCTGGAGTAAACCTAACAAGTGACGTCAAGAAAACGTATCGGACGTTAACTGCTTCAGAGGTAACACTGCCTTTGCAAATGCAGATGTAGGCACAGCTTTAAGAATGTGGCAAATTTTTCACAAGGTGATTCAATTTGAAATTGAGTCTTTGGTAATGGAAAAAAAAGTCATGTTTTATTCTGAGCTATGTATTTTGTACTTTACATAGTTATTTAATGCCTACCGTAACAATTCATTTTTTCCAAATGTACTGATTGATATGAAGATCTTAATGTCAGAAATCATTATGTAGTACTTCGAAATTATTTTACTTGTTGCATCGAAAATACATATGGTACATGTAGAAAACCAAGACAGTCAGGCTGTCTCTCTCATTTTGTACCAAGCTGCCATCTCAGTAGAATTGACATTTTAAATCCTTTTTAGCAACATACAGAGGATAAATAATAGTATTCTGTCACATGAAACATTTCACTGAGTTGATATGGTTGTATCACCTACCTGTCCCAAAGCAAAGGGTCACACTGAGTATATGCAGAATGTTGTTACACCTGAGATCTATTGTTTGGGTTTTTTTTTCATTTGCAGAGCCATACTACAAATAAACTGTTTTAAGTAGATATTACTGATTAGGTAGCTGATCTTAAGGAAATTAAATAGTTTGAGACTGACAGATCCCTTTTCTATGATAGCATTTGAGAGAGAGGGAATAAATTAGTGTGACGCACAGGCAGTATTGTTCAGAGTGTGGTCACTGTTTAACAAAACGAAGTGCAATCCTGCCTTTACTCCCTACAGACACGGAGAAATACAACACTCTAGTATGCTCTTTAATCTTTAGGGGTCTAAGACAATAAGAAATGTAAGAACAGCTCGATACTGGAAGATACACTGTTGTTGCAAATACATAAAGATGCAAATCTTACCTGACAATCAAGAAATGACAGAAAAGGCAGGATAAAAAGGCAAAGGAAGGCATAGATACGTTATTGTAAATTCTTGGTTCTTGTCAAGAGACAACTTTGTGCCACTGATCACCACCCTCTTGGACCCAACCATGCAGCCAGTTTTCAACCCACCTCGCTGTCTGCTCATCCAGCCCAAACATCAACAGCTCGTCTATGAGGATCTTACGACGGTCTCAGAGGCCTCACTGAAGTGCAGGTAGACGCTGCTCTCCCCTCAGCTACCAGGCCAGTCATGTCATCGCAGAAGTTTATCAAGTTGGTCAAGCATGACTTCCCCTCGGTGATTCCATGCTGACTACTCCTGATGATTTTCCAGTCGTTCATATGCCTGGAAGTGGTTTCCAGGACTAGCAGCTCCATCACCTTCCCAGGGATCGAGGCGAGGCTGACCAGCCTGTGGTTCCCTGGTTCCTCCTTCTTGCTTCTCTTGGAGATAGGAGTGACATTAACTTCCCTCCAGTCTTCGGACACTTCTCCCAATCACCATGATTGATCAGCGATTATCCAGAGTGGCCTTGCGGTCACATCTGCCAGCTCCCTCAGCACTTGTGGGTCCTGCTGTTCTGCCAGTCTCTTACTCTTGGCCTGGCAATCTCTGCTGTTTTACACTCCCCACAGCAGGTATCGAACACCAGTCTGCACCGTTTCATAATCAATTCAAGGGCTGAGTTTTTGCATACTTTGAGGGCATCTAAGGGCACTGTACTCCCGCAGAATTCAGTGGGGTGTGAAGGTGCGCAGACCTTCTTCATGGACAGACCTCTAAAACAACACTCTTGCTTTTGCTTGAGCCGGAGCTTGATTCTGGCACAGAGGCGCAACCGTCAAACATACAAATTCAGATTCTGTGCTAGTGTAAAATGACATACTAACTGTTATATCTTCAACTGATAAATTAATAAGGAAGATCTCTAGTGATAGCCAAGCCTGGAGTGCAGTCTTGAGAAAAACTTTGCAATTCTTACTAGTTCCTATTTAGGTTATGGAGATCTACAAAATGTTTAAAAGCATATAGAAGAAAAAAAAAATTGCTTGGTATGTAAAAGACAAAAAAGAATAGCACCACTACTTGAGAACCTGAGGATCACAAGTTTTAAACAGCTTTAGAAATTATATAGCATATTTCTGCAGTAGTCCAGAGACAGAAGATTGATATATCCAGTGAATTTATAGAATGGAGAAATACCCTGATAAAAATAGGAACTTGAGCACAAGAGGTTCAGAATGGAACTTGGATTTCTAAATTGAACATGTCATGAAAATTCTAAATAGGTATCTTAAATTCTGTCCATTGTGCTTTATGAATATCAGTTAGAAAAAGAAAAATAATGTTTTGCTTATGCTCGGAGGAAAAAAAAAAGAAAATCTGTGTGAATGTGGGGTTTTATGCATAATGGGACCATCGATTCAACTTACTTTTATCAAACATGAAGTCTCCATAGGTTTTGCAGAAGCAAGAATGTTTTATAAGTGTCTTCAGTTATTGTTGCAGTTTTGGTAAAGCCCGAAGAATTTGCTTGTACATTTTCGGATAGAAATTCAAGTCTCTCTAAATCCAAAATTGCTACCATTTTTCTCAGAAACCTATCTTTATCCTTCATTTTCTAGCATTTGTCAGAACCATGTGCTTATCAGTCAATATTTTACTCAGTTTGATTTATCGGTTTTATCAGTTTATTGCTATGAAAGTCAGTATTTACCTGCAGCAACATGGCAGTATACATATATTTTGTAATACCTGTGTGCATAGTCACAGTGATTTCTCCATGCCATATTCCACTGTAAATAGCAAAGAGTGAGTATCCTCTGAAATACCTGGTGTGATGCAATGATCTCAGTGAAATTGTGTAACTCAAAAGTTAATGAAAATTCTTTCAGCCAAGTTCTTTTCCCCATTTTCTCTTTCACCTGGTTCAGAGTGTTGCAATGAAGTTTTGCTGGGTTCTGCTAAGGTGCAATCTGAAAGAACTGTCCTCCACCCACAGGGCATGGAAATAAAAGAATGTGCAGGTCAGAAAAGACAGGATATTTGCTTTTTGCTCTGTAGCTAAAGTCTCAGCACTTCAGAGCAATGATTATAAAGAAAGTCCTATCTACTGCCAGCAGAGAAAATTGTCTATTTTGGACAGATTCTTTGGGAAATTTAGCTGCAAGGATCTAGAAAATGTCTACCAAGAACATACAGACTGTGATTTGGGTTTGTTGTTTGTTTGTTTGTTTCTTTTCTTTTCTTTTGGTCACAGTTTGAGCAGATTTTCAGCATAGATAAAGGCATGTTTTCTAACACAAAGCTATCCTTCTTGCAACTTTTGTGTTCTTGATCCCAGTCACAAGAACTTCTCTCAAGTTTTTTATAACATTTTTTATAATGTTAAATAAGATGATGTTGCTATTGTAACTTTATACTCAGAAATGGCTATACTTTTTTGACTGAAATAAAAACAATAATTATGAAGTTGGTCTGATTGATTTCCTTGACATTGACATATACTGCTTTTGGTATATGTACTGAAAATAGATTTCTATAATGGGACAAATGGTGACATTAAGAACCTCACCTGCAATATACTAAACTCTTAATCACATAATAGAACTGTATTTCCTAATAAATTTATCTAAAGTGAACCTTGTTTAACTCCCAGATTTGGGGCTTTTAGCATTACAAGTCTGGGGGGTATAATTTAGACCAAACTTATGCTGAGTTGTCCATGTGGTTCCTCATGTTCATTATAAGCCTTCCTTATCCATCAACGTGTGGAGTGCAAGTCACTTGAGTGCGTATATGAAAAATATTTCTGGCAGGAGTGGAACCTTGCTTGTGATTAATAGATTTAATATTTGGGTCCCTGATAGGAATAGAGATGATGCTTCAGGTTATTAATATACTTCTAACATAGATGTCATCAGTGGCAGCAGGTGTTACACTTTGATCATTTACTTCCATTTGCTTGCTATTCATCTTGATCAGTTTAGGCCGTTTGCCATTTGATTACATTATCTTTTGGTCTACTTCAGAATTCTCACCCACGTAAATGTATTTTAATGTCACATCAGCTTTGTGCCCGTATTTCTAATTTCTTTAGTTTTCGCTGTAAAAATATGACTGAACTGTATGAAATATCAAGTTTTACTCAGCTGGCTTGAATGGCTTTTTTATTTCAGTTTTTGTTATGAGAAATAATTGATTTCTAAAATATTATGGAAACTTTCAAGGTGTGGTATAAATGTGCCCTTTTTCTGCTACATTTGCTGATCTATTGCAATGCCTGTCAAATTGAAATGAGAGGTCTTCAGAGCTATGGCATACATCCCAGGCTTCGGCACTCATGACCTGTCTCTGGGAACGTAATTCATATGCTTGACTGCCTCCCAGCCCACCCAAACACTGGGAAAGTTCTGAGATTCATTCCAATTTCAGTATTTATAATGGGCACTATTCTGAGTTCTGGGGTACCTAAATTAACAAAAAGTACATTTGATGGAAGAAGGCGTGCTTTGAAACACTGACTTTTGCATAGCCCTAAATACCTCTGTGAAACTGGAAGTCAGGGCCAGAAAGTGCTTTCTTAGACGGGGTGGGAGAACTAAGATAGGACGACAAAGCTTTAGCATGTTATTTTTCTTTTTTATCCAGTAATTGACTAATGTGAAGTGTGTAAACTCTTGCTCGTCTCCCACTCTTCAGCTAACTTTGCAAGTAGCAGTAGATTGCAGTCAAAGCGACTTTTTTTTCTTGTTCTCCTGGCTCTGTGAAACTTATCTTTCTGGTGACACAATGACACACCTTCAACGGAAGGGGTGAAACGTGCTGCCATCCAGAACATTCTTCTCCCTCAGCCTGTACCCAACAATATTCTATTCTGGGATGTGGGAACTCAGGGTTCAAACCCCTTTGGCTATCACCTGTCACCTCAGCTATCACCTCAAGCCCCTCAGGCTATCTCCTGAGGTAACTCACTTGTCACGTCACAAGAATTCTGCTGAGTTTGCTCCATAGCATATCTTTAGGCATTTAAGATGTCTGAAGCACCTCAGCACCACAGCAAATTTGGTCAGAGCTTTCCTGAGTTGTTCTCCTGAACTTAAGCTTCTTAGAGCTGTTAAAAGTATGATATGGGTACATAAATGCATTGAGGAATGTCCACCTGCCTTTGCTGACCCTGATCTAGATAAAGATTGTCATGCTTTGGAAAAAGCCATCAGTTGTACAGTTAGTCTTCATTCTTTAAAATACAGTCATGATCAATTTTCCTTGACTTTAGATGCATTCACCAGTATAGCACTGGCAACGTTCCAGAGTTTGTCCCTTGGGAGCCTTTTTTTTTAATTTGTAGAACTTCAAGTTCTTTTCTAACTTGCAGAGTAATTAGTGTTGGCTTATTATCAAAGAACATAAAATCAGGTAGAACAGTTCCCGTGTTTGCTGTTGTGTTGCTCAGTCTCATTCATCTCTGAAGCACTCCTAAATCTGTGTATTGTAATAAGAACAAGATGAAAAGAACCTCAAATGAAGGTTCAGATGAGAAAATTCTTTGGTTTAATATTTGATCACTCATTTCTCCCAGAATGGAAATGCCACTTTTATTATGAAGGTCACTAAATTCAAATGAGCAAAGTTGCAGCAGGTGGCCATTTTGCAACTCTGATGAGTGTTCTTCTTTATGGGTTTAGAGAAAGAGATAAACCGGATTAGGATTGATCCTCAAGCTTTGTTCACTCTATTGACAGCTGACTTATATGTATGTATTTATCAACTAGGACTGATGGTTGCTTTTTAAAAAATGCATAATTAAAAATTTATTTGTTCAATAGCTGCTTTCAAGAATTCTCACATTCCTTACTTCATTTTTCACGCAATTATTGCCTCCAGAACAATTTCAACCATCTTTCTCATGGCTTTCATTTCACATTTTAAGAATGAGAAGAATTTGTACTTTGGGTCCTTTGTTTTCATTCTTACTGTTATGCTAGGAAATTAAAAAGTAAGAATTCACACAGGGTTCCATTAACAAAAAGCATGTCCACTTCTTTCATGTTGTTCACAATGGACTAGTTTTTGGTATTGAAACTACTATAATAACTTTTCGCTTTCATAGGCAATTGAAATGTATATTATGAATTGTTTCATGAAACACTTTAAAAGCAAAACTTCACAGCTGGGCATTATGAAATATGTTTTAGAGAATAACAGTGAAATAGAAAATTGCCATAGGAAAGAGATCTCTTTTTTCCTGCATTGGCATAAGTTGTTGTCGAATTAGAGCTGAGTTTTTCTCTCCTGCTACAACAGCACCAAGTTTGGAGATGCTCAAGTGAAGAAAACAGCATGAATATGTATTGATATCAGGTAAAAATGGAAAACCAGTGTTAGCCCTTGGACTTCCAGTTATCTTCTTGCTGGACTTCCAGTTGTCTGCTACTTACAGTTCAGCAGTGGGATAGACCATGAAAGATTTGTCCTATTCTGCTGGTGAAAGGAGCTGTAATAACCACTTTAAAGTGGTTAAGAAAAGTTCAGAAACTTGTGCTGGAAAGCTTATGAAGTTTATATTCTTTGCAGTGGAAAATGTTCAAGGCTGGAGAACTTTTAGCAGGATTCAGAAAGAAATACTGTAGGATCCCGAGCAAAACATTTATTTTCATCTTCCTTGTGATTGTGAGAAAGAAAAACAAAACAGAAATAAAAATACAACCTCTACCAGTTTAGGAACAGTATTCAGAAATGAAAGAAATGCAGACTGAATAAGCCAAAATACATTGAGTTAGAGAATGTGGCTGGGTCAATATTATTGTTTCTCTTCTGTCATTAAATAATACAAGGAAAAAAATACCAGCAAAAAGGCTGCTCTAGAGTTAATTACCAGTGACATTCACTGCTGGGCAAAGGATCAGCCTGAGTCCGTGTACCACATACAAACATTATACTGACCCCATGATTTTCCCCTATAGCATAACCCTGCATAAGTGTGTCCAAACAAGACAAACAGCATCTCCACAGCCTCTTCTGTCTGAGAGAAGCTGGTGCTTTCCTTACATCTCCCTCCATTAAATTTCCAGTTGCGCGGTGCCAACGGCAGTGCGTGCCCTGAGCCCGTGGCCAAAGGATGGGTGGGTGTCCAAGCGGGGCTGCGGGCCGCTGGGGGATGCAGGGGTGGGAGAAGGGGGACTGATGTCAAGTGGTTACCGCAGCAACGGGGAGGGGACCAGCAGCGGTGGAGAGCAGAGGTGGGAGTGTTACCATGGCAACGGATGGAGCGCCTTCCTCACTTGGGTAGGAGATGAGGCTGTCCTTACTTCTAATTACCTGCCTGGTGCTGGGGCATTTAGGCACAATATATCAGGATTGCCTGTGTTGTCATCTACATATATTATCTATTTCATTTCTAATTAGAAAGTGAAACTGCAATGGAGATAAAGTAGTTTTCCCATGCAAGCTACACCCATTTTAATCTCTTTTGATTGATGACAGTATAACCAGTTCACAAGTAGTAGCAGAATTACTTTTTATTCTTTCTAATATAATGTAAAAAATTATATTCCAGTATCAGTTATTAATCCTGCAGCGCTAGAAGAGATGCTGAGTTAGGGAGTGAGTTTAAACTGTGTTAGGGAGTGAGTTTGTCTTATGCATCATTACATGACTATATTTCATTTTCCTTAATGAGCTTTGCAAGATAGATCTTACAATTTCTTGTTTAGGTTCTTTCTTTTTTTTTTTTTTCTAATGATATCAGGTATTGAAGATTTCTGGTAGGCTCCTTTTGAATTTCCCCAACTGGGGAGTGATGGAGTTTGTGAGTATAAGAGGAATGTGCTCATATAAAACTGATAGGAACAGCCTGGACTCCTGAAATTGCTATCATTGAATGGCCCAGTGAATGGCAATCAGCCATCTGCTATTTCATCGGGTGTCGCTCTTCCCCCAGACTAGGGACAATGAAGAATTACCAGTGTCAATAGGTGATTTAATATGAGTCTCATTTCAAAAAAGAATGGTCTGAAATCTAGGGGGAGCTGGAATTTGATCAACTGTGGCTTGAAAAGTAGGATCTTAAAGGGAGACAGAGCTATTTTGAGCGTCAAACCACCTAACTCAAGAAGGCTTGGTAGGAAGTATGACCTGGATGAGCGGAGCCCAAGGATTACCTTGGAACTACCCACAAAACCAGATCAAAATAAAAAAAAAACTGCGCAAGAAGTGAAGAAACTGAGGCAAGGATAGGCCTCCAGATACCTACCCTTTTGAAATATCTCTGTGCTTGTGTTGTGCAGCCTAGATGAAGCCTGAAGACATTTGCCTGCTGTATTTTCCTCTGAAGAGGTAAGCTGTGAACCAGAGTGTCCTCAGCTTGGAAATGTGGGAAGGCTAGGCTCAGCCTGCTGAAGGCAGCCAGCTCAGTCTCGGGGGCTATGATGTATTTCAAATATGGAGTCTCAGCCTCCCCTCAAAGCGTGCTTCCAGTAATGCAGAAGCAGAGAGGGGTCTGGTTGTGCCTGAGCCAGCAGGGCAGAGGGGTGCAGGGCTGCCCCAGCTCCTCTGGAGGCCAAGAGCAAGAAAGGCTTGAGCACAGCTGAGACTCTCTGTGCCTATGTGGCAAAACAGTCTTGTTCTCATTTTTAGAGCGGTTAAACATTTGCATTTCCCTCAAATGCAAATGAGGGCTTTTACAAATGAGCTTGTGCTACTACTTTGTGCACAGTTGGCTTTTTCGTGCATCGTTTTGTTTAATGACAGTAAGACCTATTCACATCCTGTGGATACAAGATACAACTCCCTCACTCACTCACTGTTGCTTCATTTATTTACTTGATTTCTGTCATCCAGCACTTTAAGCTTTCCTTTTGGATCCTATTTGTGTTGTAATGAATTTAGACTTCGTGACCTGGGTATGTCTATTCTGCTAAATCAACTATGTCCAGGGACCAATACTTGTCCCCAAGACTAAGTGGCACCAACTGGTGTATGTCTACATTTCTTAGTTTTAGCTGCCCCTGTGGCAGATTTACCTTGGAAGGAACAGGGTAAGGAAGTCAGCTGGCAATGAAGCAAGGCGAATGACTGGGTGTGCGGTGCTTGAGCTATGTTTGTCGTCTCCCTCTATTCAGCTGTGGGGATGCAATCTCTGAGTTAGTGTTTCTTTTGAGGAAAAGCACAACAAATGCAGAATTGTATGTATTTCTTTATTTTGACCCTTGCAAATGTTCACTGATGTGTGGCAGGATGGTTTCAAATGGGAGAGGGTTTGAAAGGACGGGGTTTAAATCCCTGGTGAGCTGTAGCTTTCCTGCACAATCCTGGAGAAGACACCAATGCCCTTAATATCTCAGCTTCTGAGAAAGAAAGCTTCCCAACCAGAGTGTTGTAAGGATAAGGGAGCAACTTTCTGGGACACTTAGATACTGTAGTAGAGTGGTATGTGGATTCTTAAGATATAACATAGCCTTAGGAGATACCCTAAAAACTACACTGGAGGGAAACAGTTGGAACAGGACTTTTACCCATCTGATTTTGCCACCTGCCTCCTTACAAAGTGCTCCTTACCATCTTTCCTCTCGCTCATGATCCTGCGTGAGACCCTCACTGTACATGATCCTTCAGCCTGAGATGGCTGTCTGTTTTTTCACCACTGCCCTGTCTCCCTTTACAGCTGTTCTTGTGTTAAGAGTGATAGTACGCATAAAAACATCATGGTAACCTCTGCTTTTCTAGCTTGCCAATGGCAGAGAAGATGTTTCAAAATGTTCTTTCACTTCTTTGGCCAAAAGGCCCTCTGTCATTAAAACAAACTCTTTAATACAGAGATTATGCGCATAAAGTCTTATTGTGTGCAGTCTCTGAGCGTGCATTTATTTTCATGAACAGGGAAGTTTAGATTCTGTTTTGAATAAGCTAATACCTCAAGAAGTATGCTTGTAAAGTTGATACATCTTTTGTTGTAATATGTGAATACTATTGAGTATCTTTATAATTTTTTTTTTCCCCCCGGATATCAAGTAATCTTAGGAAACCTTAATAGTGTACTTTATTATATTAAGTACAGCGATTAACATATGTTCACAGACTTTTAATTTTCTCTTTCTTTGTTTCTTCTGTTCAGTGATTATTCATTTTTATTTCTTTACTGTTTCCAGAGGAGTTAAGCTTGTCCTTGTGTGTTTGTCTTACTAAATTCACAGGTTAACAACCTTGGTTTCTTACCACATTGAATTATGCATTTGGAATCTCTCTCTCTCTCCCTCTCTGTGTCTCTCAGATAAAACCCAACCTGTCTGCTATCTAAGTAAAGCCTTAAATTACAGGTCAGAGTGGGCACTGTACTTTCTCTGTCAATCCTAACAGCATTGTTGCTTCCAGCAGCAATCTCCTTAGGAGTGACTATTCTGATTAGCATTTCAAGTTACATTGATCACCAGATAAGAGCGACCAAAAGTCTGCCCACTGCAATGTATCGCCCACCTCTACTTCCCCTGAGACTTCCTTGCATGCCTTGGCCATCCCTTTTTCTAAAGTGGCCCAGTTTAAGAGCATATAGTTATGGCTCATCAAAGACAGAGCTCTCGTCAGGCCCTGTCTGCAACAGGGCATGAACCCTAGCCCTCTTGACACACCAAGAGAAGAGGCTGTGGAAGTGCAGTTGTGGCACAATCATAGCAATCGGGATGTCTCTGGGAATGTCTAAGAGAAACAGAAGCCAACAGAAGAGTCCCAAAAGAAATGGGAAGCAGCAATATTCAGCAAGAATCAGAGTTTTCCACCAAAAGGGATGGGAAGAGAATAGATCTCCAGCTGGTTTTCTAAAATGAACTGCATTCTTTCTAAATTCATGCTGTGTTTCTGACTGTGGACTGGTTGATCAAACCAGAAGAGATAATCCATCAGTGCAGAGCAAGGTGGAGGCATGAAAGGATCTCTGGGGATGGGCCAAGACAAACATCTCCAGCCCTTCCTTTAACTGAGTGTAAGAAGTTATTTGGAATATAGCAGGACTGGAGCTAGCCGCCAAGAAGCCAAAATAGGCGCAGTGAGACAGATAAATGTTTTCTCAGGGAAAGGAAATGCCCCTGTACTCGGCCCTGGTGAGGCCGCACCTCGAATCCTGTGTTCAGTTTTGGGCCCCTCACTACAAGAAGGACATTGACGTGCTGGAGCGTGTCCAGAGAAGGGCAACGAAGCTGGTGAAGGGTCTAAAGAACAAGTCATATGAGGAGCTGCTGCGGGAACTGGGGTTGTTTAGCCTGGAGAAGAGGAGGCTGAGGGGAGACCTCATTGCGCTCTACAACTACCTGAAAGGAGGTTGTAGCGAGGTGGGGGTTGGTCTCTTCTCCCAAGTAACCAGCGATAGGATGAGAGGAAATGGCCTCAAGTTGCGCCAAGGGAGGTTTAGATTGGACATTAGGAAAAACTTCTTCACTGAAAGAGTGGTCAGGCCTTGGAACAGGCTGCCCAGGGAAGTGGTTGAGTCACCATCCCTGGAAGTATTTAAAAGACGTGTAGATGAGGCACTTAGGGACATGGTTTAGTGGGCATGGTGGTGTTGGGTTGACAGTTGGACTTGATGATCTTAGAGGTCTTTTCCAACCTTAATGATTCTATGATTGATTCTATGATTCTATAATTGTGTGTTTTGTTTTTAGTGTGAGGTTAGCTGTCTTTCACTCTTTATAATAGCAAGAAATCAGTGAAATAATTTCCTACAGCAGCCAGAGGGCAATGCTATAGTGAAGAAGGCAAGCTTCTATCCTCCTTCTCTGAGACTCCTGCTGTGACAGTGATGAGAAGAGCTTTTTTTTTGTTTTGACTTCAGCTATGGAGACAATTGTGACTGCTTGCTGAAATATTTTGCCAGTGTTAACCTGAATAGCCATTATATCCATGGTGACAATCTTAATGTTGACTTTGCTTCTTTCATTGTATTTTCTCCATGTAACCACCATGCTTGTAACTTTATGAAAGTATCAAAGCAAATTCTCACAAAAAAGCAAGTTATTAAAAGTATTTCTAGACATAAAACAGTTTGGAAAGTTTTCAAAGATATGTATTTTAGTACCACTGTAAACCTAATCGTTCTGTGTTTGGTTTGTATGTTTATTTTGGGGATCTTTTGAAGGTACAGCCTCAATGCTGCTGGGAAAGATAAACTCAGATTAAGAAAAGAAAAAAGCTCAAAAGTGGGGAAGTGTTTCCTGAGCAATTCCACCTCTCAGAGACTATTAGGAATAAAGGTAGGACCTAGAGGGGGGAGCAGGAGCACGGAGAGTGGAAACAAAGGA